TTTGCATAATTCTCGACCTTTTTGATGTCCTCGGCATCAAACTCGTCTTCGGTCTTGGGGATCAACTTGTCTCCGACTTTCTTCATCGGTACCTCTTCCCCGTTTTTGATAACCAACCATAATTGGAAGTTCGTGGAACGAATATAGATTCTCATTCGTTCTTTCCAATATGTATAATTGGTTCCATCAAAAAGAGGTGGCCGTGTGGTTGATTGCCCTTCACCTATTCCGGCATAGAAATTTCTAGAAGAAGAACCCATGATCGCTTTACTCTCAAACTGTTAAGTTTGGACGCGAGTTAGGCTCCGATACCAATTGTTAGAATAAGTGACCAAAGCTAGAGGGGGGGTGAATAGCGTTTGATCGTAGAAATCGCAGGAATAAAAAATTAAGAACGTGAAAAGTAAAGAGCGTAGAAAGCGTAAAGGGAGCACACCATGATTTATACTGGTTCACCACAACGTGTGGCTAATCCAGTCTCCCGAGAGACTCTCTTGAGCTACACTACTTCCGTTAAGCTTACGGGTGCTTAACAAACCGTTACAACCTGAGAACTCGAGTCCCACGAGCCTCAACAACCTTGCTCGGAGATACCGCACTTTAAGACTTCAACCCGAAGGAAAATACCTTTCCTTCGTACAACCAAGGGAAACAAGCTTTCCTTAACGTGTATACAACACTAAGACACTCAAGAACAAGACTCTCCTTAAGAGTGGATATGAGTAAAATATATATGCTCAAGAACAACTCAAACTTCACACAAATTGGCTCTAGAAAGCTATGGAAAATGAAGTTATTTGAATGCAATGAAAGTATGAATATTGTGAAGTGAATTGATGATAAAAGCAGACCCAAACACCCCTTTTTATAGTGCAAAATTAGGCTCCAACGGACCAATGCATTAAAGGAGTGATTAGCTTGATTTATGGGATTGAAAAGATTTGGGATCTGCAGAATATTGGCTTCCCATTGATGTTTGGGACTTACCCATCGCTGGTAAGCCAATTTTCCTTCAATTTTGAAGTCAACGGTCACCTACCCATCGATGGGTACAAGCTTCCCATCGCTGGGTGGGAGGTTGACTTCCAAACAAGGAAAGAATCAACCTTTAATGACCACCAACCGTCATGCCTTCCCATCGATGGTATACTCTTACCATCGCTGGGTTCCCATCGATGGGATAGACTTCCCATCGCTGGGCAAGGTCGTTCTGCCTTGTGGTAATTTTGCACCAAGGCTCTAACAGCGATGGGTGGAACTCCCCATCGCTGTTTGGCATGGTTCTGGAAACTGGTTTGGCTGAGGAGCCGCTTACCCATCGATGGGAAGATCTTCCCATCGCTGGGTGAG